CACAAGCCAAATCTAACACCCTCTTTCGAAAAGGTTACTTGTCGTACGTTACACGAGGTTTTGAATTTTGGAGCGACAGAGTCGCAAATTTCCGAACCGAATACTTCGTATCCGACGTATGCATATAATGAATATTAGTGTAATAGGGATTTACCGTTACTACTTTCCCCAAAGTTCCTATTATTTGCAACAAATTATATGTCATTCTATCCCTTAAAAAGTTAAGTTTAATGTCAGAATTACTAGATGATGTTGTAGCAAAAACTTGCAAGGAATTTTTTTGTTAGTACGCAAAAGGCGATTTCTTAGGCGAAATTTTGAGATAAATGGGTCTTTACAATTATTTTTTTAATTTTTTTGTTACAGATTTGTACTAATATCTTATACAATACCAATTTTAACAATCTTCTATGTTCATATAACATTACACTCCACATAGATGCTCTAAGCTTCCAATATTAAGTAAGATCTAACTTGATGTATTTAAGATCACAGATATATAAATTCAACTGATTGACCAAAAACAGTTACTGTAATGCAAATATAATTTCCAAAATTTATCTTACATGAAACTTGAATACTAGACCTGACTTGGGGTTGACAACCTGTCTATTTAAGAAATCAAAATAGATTATTTTAGTAAAACAAATTACATATAAATAAACAAAATATTTATCTTTAATATATGATTAACTTATTTTTATACCAAAATAATCTATTTTTGTCTTTTAAATAACGTTGTTCAGTACATTATATTACATATAATTATTTTAAATTAAAAAATAATTATTTTTGAAGAAGTAGTATCTTTAAAATAAACAAAATTAACAAGATTTAACTTAGTTTTTAAGCTAAATTCTTTGTTCTTTTTTTGTTCTATATAATCACCAAATTTAATTTTAAGTTATTTAGTTAAGTTGAAAAGACTCTTTAACTCAAAGTTTATAGCAAATTCATATGTTTTTACTATAATTTTTATTATAAACAACATTCTAAAAAAATGGTCTTTGTCTGATAATGTTATGTGCTCAAAATTACAATTACATGAAAGTTCAATTTACCAAATCTTACACAAAGTTATATAAAATTACGTAAAATTACCTAATTTTAACATCCCTATCCACACAATGGTAAAATTAGCACAGAAACATTTTTCACTTAACGGGCGCTGAGTTCATTAATAAAATTTTGTGTAATTTCAGGCTAAATTTTTGATCGTCGCTCGTGCCAATCAAAATCGAGAGCCTTCCATGACAATTTTGTTGCGGCAGCTAGGACCAATTTCAATAATATTGATGACTATTAACAATAATTAAATATGTGTATCATCTTACAAATATTTTTCATAAAAAGATGTTGTAAATTTTGGAGAAATTAAAAAAAAAATCATTGTTCTTATAATTATTATTGGACGCAAAACATACAGTAACTCTACAAAGAAAATAGTTTTCTAGTAATTGATGTAATGAAATATTCTTTAAATATGCTAGTAATTATTTTACCCAAATCTATCAAGATTAAGTCCGTTCCTTTTGCTAATAGCGTATTAGAGAAAAAATAAACAAATAAAATTTATAATTCACTATAATCATTTTCTTTATTAATCTTTTCCCACATCCCTTCGATTTTATATTTTCCACTTGGTTGGTTCGTATCAAATTTATCACATATATTAGTTCCTTTAGCATAATCCGATTTTTGTTTTATTTCTTTATCAGATGACTTTGGATAATATTTTCCTTCTCTACAAATATAAAGTACAACCGGTTCATGAATACCACCGTACGCTACTAAAACATGATTTGCGCTGCTATCTAAACGCGGGATAGCTAACTGTCTTTTATGTATTGGTAAACTATTTAGGTCTTCATATTTCATAAGCGTATTTTTCCCTAATTTAACAACGTCTTTGCCCTTACGCCATAAACCGAAATAATCTAAAGTTTCAGCAAACCGATAACTCCATTCAGTATAATCACTAGGAACTAATAAAGCAAGAACTTCATGCTTAGGCGAACGAACCAATGTATTGGGATTTTGGTGAAAGACTTCACTATCTTCTAATATTTTGAAATTTGATTTGTTGTCTATTACTACAAGCATTTTGTAACCTGTTTTATTTATAACGGTTATTGAGGAAAGGCAAGTAGTAAAGAGACTAAATAATATTATTATTCTGAACTTAATGATATTCATTTTTGAGTTGTGGTTTTTTCAAAGGTCCTATGAGTTAATCCAAGGTTTTTCAAACATGAGCTTATACGTACACACTTATGTACGCATGTATTTAAGCACTCGTGGTACAGCACAAATTATTGTACATTGCCCATAACCCATGACGTCGCACAGGAGAATTATTCGTTATTATTAGTTTGGATGACAATTATAAACAAACAAGTTTCCAAAATGCAAAAGTATTACAGTAGTATCGTATCATTTCTATTATATGGGCTGATGTCAAATACTTGGGTCACCGGCCGACAAAATTACTTGGGTCGGTCGACCCGGCCGACCATATTATTAAATAATTTCAGCTTACTAGAAAATTAGCAAATGTTTGAAAATCCCAAACATGCTGTCTTAATCTGATTTGTTCCAATCATCTATGACTGTATGATTTATTACAATTTAATTCAATAACATATTCAAATTTTCTCATTAACTTATTGACAGTAACTTACCATTACGGCTCCAACCTTATATTAATCGAAGTTTATGGGTCGACCCTCGGCCTCGGGTTAGCCCATATCACTAATCATTTCTTCTTTTTTTTTTGATTGATTGCCATTTTTCAATCGATGAAAATTAAAAAATGACAGATGCCAACTAATAATTGACAGAATTTAGAAATGATTAATAACACACACACCTAATACATAGCATATTGATCCCAATTTGATGCTGTTGTATGTGTATAGGAGGGATAATAGAGATATCTTTTCCGCAAAGAACAAGACCGGCACGTGACATTTAATTTCTGTGATCAAATTTCACATTCAAATTAAATGATACAATAATACTGGAAACCTTTTAAATCTAGTACTCATCTATAACGTGATTAATTTTATATAAGGCTGTTGGAAGTTAAAATTTTGTTCAACGTTCTCCCCCACGCCTCCAAGAGCTACCTCATGAAATTAAACAACCAATCAGAACTCCATTACGTTTTGAGAATTCAATAAAATAACTATGAACCAACCAATGATAATTGAAATTTTTTTGAGATGTTACATAATGTTCGTTAACGCTTAAGTTTTGAAAGAAATGTTAAACGAATTATAACTTCAAGCAGTCGAAATTTGATTTTCTAAAATTTGCGTAAAATTACATGTAGTGTAAAATTGGGATTTATGTACCTCAACCCTATCAGCAATAACAAAAAGAAAGATAAATCCCTTAGCAAATATCAAAAAACACACTAAATACTCCTTACTAGGGATGGGCCGCTGCGTATGGTAATATTTTGGAATTTTACAATTCTGGCAACGAGCTACTATAATGTGAGCCAGTGCAGACTAAGCAGACTGCGGAGTAACAAAATCTGAATTTGTCCGGTGTAGCAGTCGAAGTCCTTCAGCAGTGTGTTCCCAGTCATCGTAATACAGTATCCATTTTTGGTGATTTTCGAGAAAATGGGAAGGAACAGCAGGGTCGGTAAAATTGATGAAATCGTTCAGAAAAGAAAAATAAGAAAAATATCTCTTGGTATCCAAACTTCGAAAGTAATAAAAGTAAAAGTATCCAAGTAGTCTTTGACCCTTTCAACATAGTCCGAGTTCGTACCTTGTTACTTATTCTTGTCCCCGTGACTATCTAGACCCCTTTACTTTTATCAAATAAGAGTAATCGGCCCCTTTATATATAAAAATCTGATCCTGATTAACCTCGTGACCCGTGATCACGTGACTCCGTAAACAGAATTCGCGATTATAGTACTACTAACGCTAACTAGAGAAAAGTAAGGATTATTAAAGTAACCAGGCAGAATAAAAAGATTACTTATCTATAACGACACTATCGTCCTCACTAACCCTGACTATTTGGACCAAGCCTTTATCGTAGCCTTACCATTTTTAAGGGTTTGGTGACTATAAATATAGCATTTTAGTTAGAATAGTAAGATAGTAGCATAGTTAGTAGTGAGATACTATATACCTACCCTCCAAGTTTTCCGACGCAGCCTGCACTTCTACATCAGGCAGATTCTCGTTTTGATTAGCTAAAAGCGACGATCAAAAATTTTGCCGGAATTACTCGAAAGAAAATTGTTCCTGGGCTAATTTTATTATTGTGTTGGCCTATTTCTTTAAAAATTGGAATGAAAAGTAATTACTGTAATTTTACGTAAGTTTGTGTAAGTTTCTGAAATCAATTTTACATGTAATTTTTATCATGTAAGTAATTTTAGCAAAAATTTTTATAACGCTGACATTAATAATGAATAAAAAAAACCACAATTCCGAACATAATGATGGATGTCTATTTGTGCTGGCTAAGCTTTTGTGATATCAGTAAAATTATCATGTGATAATGTTCAATGTAAAGTTGCATAACAATTTCGTAAGTTACAATGTACAGTCATCCTTCCATATAATCACACAGTTGGGCACATAGTAATTTTTTTAAAAAAATGTGCTTATAAAGGAGTTGTGCTTATATGGAGGGTTATTTCTTATAAATTAAATCATAACTTAGCCTAAACATAAATGTGATTACATATGATGTGATTATATGGGAGGTGACTATATGGAGGGACGACTGTATAACAATTTAATTACTAAAGTTTTGATTATATAGAGTTAATGTAACATAAATATGTAATAGAGCTTCTTAAATTACTGTAAATAAAATATAACAAGTTAAAATTTGACAAATTCGCTTTGTTAATTGTTTAGAAAATGATTTCTAAATAAAGAATTTAATAATTTAATTTGTTTAATGTTAATAATAAATGGTAATCAGTTTAAATAATCGAATCACAAATAGATATACATAAATTCAATTCTTCAAAACAGTTCTAATAAAATAATTTTTTGCTATTTGCAAAAATTTGAAATTTGATCATTAAAAAAAAAAGCAGACACAAATTTTCGATTAAAGATTTTCAATTTCTTTACCATTTTTTTTGACTTTTAGACTAGAAAAATTTGCACATTTATTATTTGTAAAAATTTGGTTGAATATTTTAATGAGCAACTCCTATTTCTGTAAATATATCACAAAATGATGAATATGTAACTTTTATTTTTATATAAAAAATAATAAAATTTTTACAAAATAATAAATGCACAAATTTTGTCTAATCTAAAAGTCAAAAAAAAAAGTCGAATTAATCGGAAATCAGTGATTAATTATTTTCAAATTTCACATTATTTTGCAAATCGCAATAAACATTGTTAATTGTCACGGATTATGATTAAAATGAAATTTGGGTTTTAGAAAATCCGCTTATTATAAACACCAAAATCTACCCCTAACTCTAAAAATTGTCCTAAAAAAAATTAAAAATTGCACCGTAAAATTTTATTTCCGGTGGCTTGTCTGTTTTGATTTCGTTTTAATCTACTACAATAATTAAAATAGAATCTTTTCGTGATTCTTGTGTTACATGCAAATTCCAAGAATGGTTAATTATAATCGTGTTACCATTGTGCATTGTTCTAAGAATTCTGAAGAAACATAGTAATGTTCTTATATAGAAACTGAAGAATATTCTATCGAACTATATGTTTACAGAATATTAACTGGGAAGATTTTTCTACATACAGTCATTTTATAGAACATTCTGGACAACTGCCTTACAACTAAAAAAAAAAAACTATAAATATTTGATAACGATGTCAGCAAAGTTATTTTTGGAAATTATATAAAAAATAATTTAAAATTAAAGTCTCTTACTGTAATTGCAAGGTTTTCGTATTAACACAATTAGCTGTAATTATCTTATTAGTAAATGGATTATGGATATTATAGAAAGTGTAAAACATGTAAAAAGAGAAGACGTCATAAAGATCTCAGTGCCCGACAGTGTAATATGTGCGATCAACAATCATTAAATGGAAATAAAATTATAGATAATTGGCTTGTTAAAACAACGGGGATCAGTGTTAGCAGACATTCTTTTATGGAATTTATTCCATATGAACGGTTTAATGATATAATTTATATTTCTGAAGGCGGGTTTAGTAAAATATACAAAGCGACATGTGTTAATGGTATAAGAGATAAATGGAATGGTCACAAGCAAAGATTTGAATATATTCAAAATGCAAAAGTTGTTCTTAAAAGTCTTAATAATTCTGAAGCTATAAGTCATGATTTTTTAAATGAGGTTTGCATTCTTATAATTATGTTGATATTATTCACATAATTTATTATTGTTAACTTTTTTTTGTCTGTCCTAGTTAAAAAATTATTTTCAATGCTTCGATCATTATGTATCGATAATCCAATATTACGGCATCACACAACATCCCGAAACAAAAGATTACATGATTGTAATAGACTTTGCAAAAAATGGTGATTTATATAATTTTATTTCAAAAAATTTTCTTGCTATGTCTTGGAAGCAAAAACTAGGGACGTTAAGAGATATAGCACGGGGACTTCGAACAATGCATAGTAAAAAAATCATTCATCGAGATCTTCATAGTGGTAATATACTTATTGGAAAAGTAATAAATGATTTTAATCTTAATCCAAATATAGGAGATTTTGGAATAAGCAAACCAGCAAATGAGATAACAGATACAAAAGAGATATATGGGGTAATTCCATATATTGCACCAGAGATATTTAATGGAGAAAAGTATACGACAGCATCAGATATTTACAGTTTTGGAATGATTATGTGGGAAATGATAACTGGTCAAAAGCCTTTTTCTGATCGTAATCATGATGAATATCTTATTCTTGATATTCTTAATGGTCTTCATCCTGAAATAATTAATGATTTACCACAGCCTTATATTGATTTAATGAAAAAATGTTGGGACGCAAATCCGTTAAACAGACCAAGTGCTGGAGATATTGCGAAAACTATTCAGGTTATTATCAATGCAGGTAGAAAAGGAATAAATTTCCCAGAAAACATAATTCACACACATATCAAAAAAATGAATCCGCAAGCAATATATACTAGTAGATATCTAAGTTCTTTGGTTAACACTGCTCTCCGGATGAAATTAAATTATAATACTCTTACAAGTATGTCTTATAAATTACTACTATGACTTTCTTTTTTTAATTTTGATATACGCACGAGCTTACTTAAATATATTATTTATAATGTATAGATTATTCTATTTTATCAAGTATCTACTCAATAAACAACATTGAAACAGGTACTATTACTGTATTAATAATTTATTTTATAAACCATAAAAATAACCTTTTTGTAAAATATTTTTAGAAGATCCATTCAATTTTATTGAAGACAAAGAGTATAATAAATGATATTTTTATTCTAATTTTTCTTATGCATTTTAATTATTAATATATCTTACTTATTTGTATTAAATAATCATGCTAATAGAAATAATGAAATAAAAACATCAACCCAGAATAAACAATTATCGAAAATGGACTTAAGTTTTCTATGCAGCAGCAAACGAACTTTGTACTATTATCAACAAGAATCAGAACCACTCTCACATCCTAATCTTAACATTCCAAAAAAGCATCATCTTTACGAAAATAATTTGGTTTATAACGGTACGTAATATGAAAATCTGCTAATAAATAAAACTTCAATATAATGATAATGAAGTTAATACGAAATTTTACAATAGATATTCATAGTAAAAATAAAAGGCAAAAAAATAATGAGGATACACAGTATCAAGGTATAGTTCTTATAATAATTAATAAATGTTGCTATATACTTACTAAATTAATTGTTAAAATTTAGATAATCATAATTATCAAAGTAAAGAATTTGAGTTTGATATTAACCGATAGAATTTATAACTTTAATAATATACATTTATTAAATTCTGTCATTTGAGTATATAATATTTGATATTTATAATTTTGATTTTGAATAATTATTATTTATTTTTTTTTACTTAAATACTATAAATAAATAATATATATTTTTAAATAAACTACATGTTTATTAAATATATACTTAATATAATTATAGTTAATTTTACTTTATATTTTTTAACCAATCATGAATTATTAAATATATATAATTTATAAAAAATTGTTTCAAGTATATAGTTAAAATTTCTTCAAGTAATTTTTTAGAAATTTAAATATATGCAGAAACTTATTTAATAAATACAATTTGACTTTTCTATAATCATCTTCTCTATAGTCACATTTACTTATAATCGCATTAATTTTCAAAACCAACTTATATAAAGCATATAACATTTAATTTCTATATAAGTATAACTCTATAAGCACTGAATATTTAGAACCAAAGGCGTAATTATATTAAATAATTTTAAATTAGATGATGAACATTATTTTGATGATTTTGTTTTAAAGTGATTCTAAAGTTGAATAAATAAATAAATAAATTACTGTAAAAGCAAAAGTTAAATTTATAACTATATTAATCATAATAATAATAAATATTTTTATAATAAACAAGCAAAAATTTTATAACAATTTAATTACTAAAGATTTTGTTTATAAAAAGATAATGTAGCATAAATAGGTAGTAGAGTTTCTTAAATTACTATGAATAAATTCTTAGACAAAAACAAGTTAAGATTTAACAAATTTGCGTTATTAATTGTTTAGAAAAGTAAAGAAGTTAGTAATTTAATTTGTTTAATATTTAATATTAAATAGTAATCAGTTTAAATAATCAAATCATAAAATAGTAATAGGTTATACAAAAATTAATTCTTCAGAACAATTAAGAAAATAATTTAAATTGTATAGTTTACATAAATTTTTTTATTGATTTAAATAATTAAACATTTATTATATCAAATAATATAATTAAATGAACAAAAAAAATCTACATAATCCTAATAGATCTGGTTATAATAACAATTAACCGTAACAACATTAAACACAGAATCATAAAGGATTTCTAAAGTAAAACAACAAAAAAAAAAACAAAAGTAAATGTACTTAAAAAAAAAAAAAGAAGGTATTAACATAGTTTAGAATGAAAAATTAATTAAGCATAGCTAAGCTATTTTGCTGTTCATCGTACCAATCAAAAATGGATTTTAAAATACCACCAGTAATCAAACCGCTGCCTAATACAGTAACAGTAAAAACAGGGATTACTTTAACTTGATAACAAGAAATACCAATTAATACCCAAAGAATGGCAATAGAAAAACTAGAATCTTTGAATGGATAATAATCTACTACAAATAAACCAACAATTATTAAAATAATTAAAGCAATAACAGATAGAAAAACAGTATCGAGAGCGGGGATTGCAATCCAAAAACTTAAAATTGTTGTGTATAAAGCGAAACCAGCCCACATAGAGAATGGTTTACGAATTAAAAGATTATCAAAAAAACCTTTAGATTCATAATATAAGTCGATAGTAAGACATATATATGCTATAGCAACAAATAAGAATAAATGTATAATTGCAGCAATGAGATAAAGTTTGAATAACTAAAACAAAAATAAAGAAATAATTAAATTAGTTAACTAAAAGTATAAGAAAACATGAGATATAAAGGGAAATAATATATTACCCATAGAATACACCAAGCGATAGCAAAAATTATAACAATAATGAAGTAATAAGAAACACCGTCAACAACAATATCGTAGTTTTCGTCAGTTTCGGCTTTTACAAACCATTGATAAATAACAAAAACAGCAATCAAAAAATAAATCAGAAATAGGATTCCAAAAGTATAAGTTGCAGGTGTAATGTAAGTGTATGAACTGGAAGAATTTTGAGCGTTGGTGACATTATTATTATCACTGCTGCCTGGGAATGATTTAGTTGTAATTAGTGTAAAGGTTGCTGTGCATATGAATAAGATATATACAACAAGGTTTAAGGATTTTAGAAGAATCGGATGCATTTCTTCTTTTTCGTACAGAAATTTTTAAACCCGTGAAAAATTGGACTTTATTCATTGAAAAGCATGATAGTTAATGCGCCTCATTTTTCTTTTTGTTGATTGATATCAACAAATATTTACCCAATATCATCACATTCAAGAGAACTTACATTGTAGTAATAACGATTATCGTTAGCTGGACTGACTCGAAATTATCACAATTCATACGTGTATTGACCAATAAAATTACAGAATTAATTAAAGGACAATTTATTGTGATGTATAGCGATGTTTGCTCTTATTTATGCAATTAATTAAATTAAATAACAATACTGTAATCGTATTATTCTGTTGTTTAACACAATGAACAGTATTTATATCTATATACCTGATGAAACGCTAAATTAATATGTCATAGTCGTTATTATCAAAATAATACATCAGCACTTTAAGATAAAACATAACCGTCAGTCATGATTTCAAATTTCGTACATGTTTATAACATAACTAAATGTAGTAATATTGATAAAATATTTTATTAAGCTAGTCAAAATTATAATTCTTTTACACAGTAAATCTTAACGTCGTTTAAAGCTGAGGCGGCTTTTGTGGCAATTTTTATTAGTGAAAATTTACAATCCCAAGAAGTACTTAACGTTAAGAGAGTATAAATAAGTTAGCTGCTATTCAGTGGCTTGCATAAATATTATTAAGTCGCAATCAAATTTACAGTACATAGTGATAAAAAGACTAAGCCATTCAAGAAGCCACTGTATTACAGTACATACAGTATAAACGAATAGCTAACGCTAACATATCACACGTGTCACATGCTAAAATGCCACCTCAGTAAAACTTCTATAAGTGCATGCTCCTGGAACCAAACTTTAACAACATGCTTTTATGGAAATCATATATATATTTGAACTTGAATTTAAATGTGAATATAGAGAATATGTACAAATATAGCTGATGCACTTATTGTATAGTACGTTGAAGTTTTTGCAAATGGTTTGGACTCAAAATCATCTATTTTAATCTAATATCTTATAAGGCTTTTAATATGAAAAATCTTAGATTACATTATTAAACGAAAACAAAATTTAGGTATGAATTGGATGGGTTTAAAACAAGAGTGGACAAATTTTAAAATTGCACATAATGACCTTTTATTAGGATATGCACGAAAGATAATTAATTATATAATACATGCCTTACTATTTGTCATGCCTACCTTCATTATAATTTCCCACATGATCATATCATGACCGGGAATCTACTGTGGGAAGATTTCTAGTCATAAATTATCACGTGAAAAATTATAATGAACAACGTAAGGTAGGGTATTGTAAATTTATTTCCCGATGATCATATGATGCAGGTGGCCCTTCGGCTATAATCATCGGAAATCTCTGTTATATTTTCAAGCTCTAGAATACTTCTTTAAAATAAGGTTTTTTGAATTCTTTTTTCTTGTGCTGTTAAACTTTTGTCCACTGACATGAAGCATTATTTCAATATCAACTGCAAAGGATTCTTTATTATTATAACGCGAGTAACCACATCAATTAATTTATACAAAGAAGCAAAAGTTTATATTATATGTAACATAGAATAAACTCAATGCAATATGAATACAATTGATGCGTTATTCTACCCTAATGTCTTGATTTTTGAAGAGCTTTTCAATGAACACTAAGATCAAACAAAGAAGTATATAATAATAAACTTGCATGAGAGAAAATTTTATTAAAGCATGAAAAACAATACAAAATTACGATATGTGAAATTCTTTAAAAATGAACGAACGATTATTTTTATTTTTATGACTATTTGTCCTGCGCCTGGTGTTGTCTCCAATCAAATTACGTTATATTACTAATCAAATTATTTTGAAAAAATCATGTGAATGCGACTTCAACTATTGGTCACGCTGATAGTCCAAAGCAATATATTTTAATATACTGAAATTAGTACAGTGAAATGATGAGATGGCTTTGCTGTACATCAGAAATCAAAGGTTTAATCGTTTCGATTCATTTATCGTTATTTGTGAGGCTTTGTTAAATATTTACGTACAAACGTGTGGCGGTGTTTAGTTATCTAGGATCTTCAACTAAATTTTGATATTGCATTAATGAATTCTTGATCATGTGATTGAGAAGCAATTTGGAGTTTCGAATAAACAAAAAAGTTCATTGATTATCTTTGTAAATATTACTATGCCCCACATAAAGATCAAAACCACCGATTTTTCTTCAATTTAAAATTTTACGAGAAGAAAAGACAATGTCAGTTCTTATAAAATCCGCAAATATTGTCGGATTTTTAGCATTAGTAGCTATAGCAATCTTTGTAGTACTTCAAAATTTAAATTATTTCTCAATTAGTAATAGTCAAAATACAGAAAGTGGTAATGCGACTAATACTACTGAAACTTATCTCACACCTCCAGTATATACTTTTGGGGTTTGGTTTTTGATTTTCCCGTTACTTCTTGGTTTCATTATCTACCAATGGTTCGATGGAGATGATGGTGCTGTAGTTAATGGTGTTTCATATTATTTTTTCTGTCAAGCTGTTTTGATTGTTGTCTGGCTGATTTTATGGGTAAATATGTTATTATTCTTCTTTATTCTAAAATAATGTTTTAATATTACTTAATTATTATTATTATTATTATTGTTGTTGATATTATTATTAGGCTCTTGCACTTTACCTTTTAGACGCAATTGTACAACTGGTCATCACCATATTGTTCTTCTTAATATATTTCACCCTTATCACTCATTATCCTTCTAAAGGAATTCTTGATAGCTTTTTTATCTTTTATCCATTTTCAATATTAACTTCCTGGAATTTATATATTTTATTCCTTTATTTTTGGATTGCTGTTCCGACTCTTAATACTATTATTTTAACGGTTGTAGCTTTAGTTATTCTATCAATTGTTGGTTTATTCATGGTTGATTTTTGGTGCCATGACAATATTTTTGCTTTTACTATTATCTGGATATTAATCGGTGTTGCTATTAATAATGTTGAAAATTTGCCTGTGTATACAGTCTCTTTGGCCGGAATTGGATTAATTAGTGGTGGCATTTTTAGAAATTGGTTTAAATTTTCAAGAGAATGGTATAGTGCTTTCAATTTCGTCGAAACTGGTGGTGGTAATGAACATGATACACGTTACAGAAGTTATAGAACTGATGAACCTTTTGGTCCAAGTGGTCATTATATGACAGAACTTTATAGTAATCCATAAAAAATACGTACGCATCACATATACGTAAGTAAAATTTCTGGTTTTTTTTTGTTAAATCATCGCTTTTTATGTATTTGTAACAATAACTTAAAGAAATTGAAAGTGATACGTATTGTATGTATGTAAGATGTTCTTTTATTTAATTTATTTAATTACAATTATCTTATATTTATATATATATATTCACACATCAAAAAAATTAAGGATTTATTGTTTTTAAAGTTTTTTTAATTATCGATACGCGACACTACATGTCTAATTGATAAATATTGACAGTCTTATAATCGGGAGAGAACCTGAACAAATTTAGCTTAATATCAATGGGTTCTGTGCTTTTCAGATTCGATGATTCCATGGGAATTACGATTTTATGGAATTTACTTGTGTAAGTATGTACATACGATAAAAAGTATCTATAATAAAATAAAATATATAGCTATGCTAAAAACAAATAAAGCGATTCTATTAATGTTAAATGTAACAAATCATATCAAGATTAGACTGTACTGTATTGGTTAACTAATTTAAGCGCACTTTAGCCAAAGAGATCAAATTTTGACAACAGTAAATTAATATTAAAAAATAAGTTTTATACACTACTTTCGGTGAGACAATTCATTAGATAATTTATAAAAGATCATTATTAATGTTAATTTTTATGTAACCTAAAAATTTTAACATATATTTATCTTTATTCAAGGTAGTGAATTTCTATTGTAATAAAGCTATTCAAATTGTCAAATTAAAATAAAAATGTTTGCTTAACAATATTATTAACTTATCAGTAACCCCCTTAGCATCACCACCCGAAAAAATTTCGCTGCTATTTCGCCAGCCAATCATATTTCAAGATCCGGTGTAACACGAAAAAACTCAAAAAATCAAAACAAACCAAAAACTACTTTACGAAGTTTTTTGGTATAGGGAGGTTCTTTCTAACCTAACTTAATAGCAAACCCTAACCCTAGCAAAATTTTTTAAGTACACGGGTAAAGGCTGGAACCGATTTTAATAATTCGGGTTTATCCCATGAATTTTAAAATTTATTAAAATTTAATTGGATAAATTTCTAAAATATCAAATTCACGTGATAAACCCGAATTATTAATAATAAATTAGATTTGAGGAAAGATTAAATTAGATTTAAAGTTAGGGTAAGGTTAGCTTTAGAGTTAGAAACTATGGTTTATACTAAAATTTTCGCGGAATATTTTTTGATTGAACCCCATAAGCTGTTTTATTAAAATTGAAAATAATTATATTAAGTATATATTTAATAAACGTGTAATCTAGGCCGCTTGTAGTTAAAATTTCGTTTAACATATTCACAGAGAAGGTGAGAAAATTAAACAAACATAAATATGAAGATATATTGTATTAAAAAATCCAGATCACTGTGCTGACCATTGCACTGATTAATTTGTCCTTTTTTTTGTTTAATTTTAGGGGCTCAGGGATAACGTTTAAACAAAGTTTATTATTTATAGTACATATTTAAGTAAAAGCAGAAATATTAATTATTCAAAATCAAAATAATAAATAATAAATATTAAATAGCTAACGACAGAATTTAATAAATGTATATTATTAAAATTATAAATTTTATCGGTTAATATCAAACTCAAATTCTTTACTTTGATAATTATGATTATCTAAATTTTAACAATTAATTTTTAGTAAATTTACAGGCAACCGTTTACTAATTATTATAAGTACTATACCTTGATAGTGTGCATCCTCATTATATTTTTGCCTTTTATTTTTATTATGAACATCTATTGTAAAATTTCGTATTACCATCATTATCATTATATTAAAGTTTTATTTATTACGTGGCAGATTTTCATTTTACATACCGTTATAAGCAAAATTATTTTCGTAAAGCTGATGTGTTTTTGGAATATTAAGATTAGAATGTGAGGGTGATGCTGATTCTTGTTGATAATAGTACAAAATTCGTTTGCTGCATAGAAAACTTAAGTCCATTTTCGATAATTGTTTATTCTTGATCGATGTTTTTATTTCGTTATTTCTATTAGCATTATTATTTAATATAAATAAGTAAGATGTATTAATAATTAAAATACGTAATAACAATTAAAATAAAAATATCATTTATTATACTTTTTGTCGTCAATAACATTGAATGAAACTTCTAAAATTATTTTATAAAAAGGTTAGTTTTATGGTTTATAAAACAAAATAAATTATTAATACAGTAATCATACCTGTTTTACAGTTGTTTATTGAATAGATACTTGATAAAATAAGCTCGTGCGTATATTAAAATCGAAAAAAAGAAGGAATAGTGTTAATTTTATCAAACATACCTGTAAGAGTATTATAATTTAATTTCATCCGGAGAGCAGTGTTAACTAAAGAACTTAGTGATCTACTAGTATATATCGCTTGCGGATTCATTTTTTTGATATGCGTGTGCGTTATGTTTTCTGTGAAATTTATTACTCCGTTATATAATTTATCGTCAATATAATGAATATTTTTCCTAATATTTTCAGCACTTGGTCTGTTTAACGGATTTGCGTCCCAACATTTTCCCATTAAATCAATATAATCCTGTGGTAAATCGTTAATTATTTCAGGACGAAGACCATTAAGAATATCAAGAATAAGATATTCATCATGATTACGATCAGAAAAAGGCTTTTGACCAGTTATCATTTCCCACATAATCATTCCAAAACTGTAAATATCTGATGCTGTCGTATACTTTTCTCCATTAAATATCTCTGGTGCAATATATGGAATCACCCCATATATCTCTTTTGTATCTGTTATCTCATTTGCTGGTTTGCTTATTCCAAAATCTCCCATTTTTACACCAAAATCAACATTTCTTGGATTATTACCACGATGAATAAGTATATTGCCACTATGAAGATCTCGATGAATAATTTTTTTATCATGAATTGTTTTGAGTCCCCATGCTATATTTCTTAACGCCCCTAGTTTTTGCTTCCAAGATATAGTAAGAAAATTTTTTGAAATATAATTATATAAATCACCATTTTCTGCAAAGGCCATTACAATCATGTAATCTTTTGTTTCTGGATGCTGTGTAATGCCGTAATATTGGAGTATATAATAACCATCTGAACATTGAAAATAATTTTTTAACTATGATAAACAAAAAAAGTTAACTAACAATAATAAATTATGTGAATAATATCAATATAATTATATAAGAATGCGAACCTCATTTAAAAAATCATGACTTATAGCTTCAGAACTATTAAGACATTTAAGAACAACTGTTGCATTGATAATAGCTTCTGCAAATCTTCGCTTCCGACTATTCCATTCCGTTCTTATACCATTAACACATGTCGCTTTGTATATTTTACTAAATCCTCCCTCAGAAAGATAAATGATATTTTTAAAATATTCATACGGAATAAATTCTATAAAAACCTTTTGTTTATTTAGTTTAACAAGCAAATTATCAATAAATTTATTTCCACTTAACATTATCTGATTGCAAAAATTACATTGCTGAGCATTCTTATTATCATGAAGTCTTAACTTCTCACATTTATTGCATTTTTTTCTTAAAGGATTTCTTTCTCTAGTAACCTTATTTTTTCTGTATGAAGTTGATAAATTATATTTGGTAGCATTAATTGTATCCATGAGTAATTTTAAATAAAATATTATCGCTATTCGGAAGGATTTCAATTGAAAATGATAAATTTTAGTTCTAATTTGTCTGAAAACACGAGCTATAATTTTATACTTTTAGTTATCAATTATTGTCGCAGTGAAAGCTGGAAATTTTAATATTTTAATATAAATTTTCAGAATTTTTGGGATGCATTTTTGGTTTTTTTTTCCTATATTTATATTAGTATTTAGATCTAATGTTGATGACAAGTGGTTTTAGTGGAATATATATTTTGAATTGGAGTCCCCTAATTTCCAGCTTCGGTCTTCTATAGCGACAATTGTTTAACGTTTATAGAAAGTTGTCCAATAAAGCTCACACAAAATTGAATAAAGTGTAACAGAATATTCCTTTTTTTCCTACAAACTAAGAATGCAGATCGGAAAAATTTTGAATTCTTAGAATATTATACAAACCATAAATGCAGATCAGAAAATTCTTTAGAATTTTTAGAATCATTCAAATGTAAAGTGTCTGTTTCACTTCATTTTTCGATTTATGTTGCTTCGAAATTAACGTGTTACTCATAAATTAAAATGTTGTTGTTTTTCTTAGTAAATGTGGGTCGCATAACAGTTAACTATGTTATTTAGGTGGACTTTATATGCAATTCAAATAGATTAGTATTAGTATGGTATAGATGTAGCATTCTTGCATGTATGTAGTTTTTTTAAAATAAATTATTTACTTTT